GGAGCTCCCATTGGTATATAATATTTTATATATGCAATCTAGCAATATCTATGTGATTTGATAATACTGAGTACCGGATATAGTTGTTGATGACATCATTTCCTATACTTGGTCTTTATGTATGAAATATTTCAGTTTAGAAAATGAAATTAAAATGGTTGCAATGGATTGATCCCCACACAGGCATCCTACACATAGTAGAGACTATACACTCCTTCATGATCCTTGGAGCCCCAGAGCTGTTCGAGTTCCTGCCCTTTCAGAGCCTGACTGTTCAGCTGCCTTTTCACTTCTAGAATGTAATCCATAGACTAAAAAAATACATGGTATGATAAAAAGCAAATTATACTTGGAGAACAATTTTTTGTGTGTCATAGGAGTGCATGGCTGAGTAGGAGTTGGAACTTCTGGAACATGCACTTTAGGCATCTATTTATTGCCACTGATTTTCACTGAGGTTGACAGACTCTTGGGCTAAACTCTGTCCATACATATTCAGAGATACACAGGTAGAGGGTGAACTGGGGTATCCCTGATGGGATCTAGATGACACAGTGAAGCGTGATGGGGGTCCCTTGTGAATAAGGACCATAAGGGAGATGGGGAGAGGGGTGCTGGTCACGCACACGAGAGGCAACAGCAGGACCTAACTGTGACCTGAGTTCATGGTTCCTGGCACATGTGGCTTCTAGTATTGAAAGGGATCCCAGGTCAGCCTGGGCATCAGGAAGAAAAGAGACTTTGAGAATTGAAAGGGCTACTTTGATAAAAGCCCTAATGTTTTCAGACCCAAGCAGTCCTGCTCGAGAATCCCAAAAGTCCTAAGGAAGAAGGAGGAACGCTTTCCTTCTGAATTTGCATGATGGGTAATGAAATCCTGACCTCAAAGCATTTTGATGTTTGCCTAGTATCATCACAATGGAGTGGGGCAAATCCCCCTTATAAATGGCTTTGGGGGCAATGGCTATGGGAGGAGAGCTCACAGCCTCAGAGTGGCTTTTCTGTGGAAATACAGGCCTGGCGCAGACAGGGCAGACTTGGGGGCTGGCCAGCTAATAGGCCACTTTGTGCAGACACATAGGCATAGCCTTGGGGTTTCCAGAAATATTTTAGGAGGACTTTACAAAAAGCATCTTCTGCCAGTCAAAGGGATGGGGCCTTGGGTCCATCAAGATTGGAGTTTTACTCTTAATGGGACTTAAGAGGTAACTGACTCTCAATGGTTTTTAGACTATGTATTTGTATTTTCCCAGCATTAATGCAAGCAACATTTAGCATGTCTTTAATTACAAGAAGTTTATGGCATCCATATAGAACTCATTTCAGACTCTAAAGCCTCAGGACACTGTAAACATGTTTATAATGTGTTTTCTTTAAGTATTGAATTTAGTCAGACGATTCCAGAGAACAAACTACCCTACCAGCACTGGGTATGTGTAGGCTCTTTCTTTTATTATCTGACGATTATGATGATGACAATAATGACCACCATCTGCTGCGGGGGCTCTGACACCCTTTCCTCTGCTTACTTATATCAACCTGTAATGAATCCCCAAGTCTTCTATTCTGGGTTAGCTTTTGTATCAGTCAAGGTTTTCCAAAGAAGCAGAACCAAAAGAATGTGTGTATGTACATTTATTTATTGTCAGGCCTTGACTCACTGGGTTATGGAGGCTGAGAAGCCCCAAGGCCTATAGCTGGTGAGCTGGAGACCCAGGAGAACTGATCATGTAAGTTTCGGTCTCAGTCCAAAGACCCAAGAATGAGGAGAGCCAATGGTGCAGTTAGTTCTGTCCTTAAAGCCAGCAGGCTCGAGACCCAAGAAGAGCCAATATTTCAATTCAAGTCTGAAGGCCAGAAAACACTGATGTCCCAGCAGCTCAAGGTGGTGGGTCAAGGTGGACCCTCACAAGAGGGTCGAGCCTTTTAGTGCTATTCAGGACTTCAACTGATTGGATGAGGCCCAGCCATGTTAGGGAAGGCAATCTGCTTCATTCAGTCTACTAATTCAAACGTTAACCTCATCCGGACACACCCTCACAGAAGCACCTTGAGGCCAAGATAAGTCAACACATACAATTAACCACCACAGTTTTATTATGCGTGATAAGATTTGCAAATTTTAAATGTGCAATTCAGTGGGTTTTGACACATGCATGGCAGTGTAACCAATTCCACAATCATGATTCAGACATTTTTATCGGCTCCTTCTGCCCTTGACTGTCAATCCCCTGCCACCATCCCCTGACCCCTGGCAACCACAGAAATGCTTTCTATCACTATAGTTTTGCCTCTTCTAGAAATTCATATAAATGGAATCATAAAAGATGTGGTTTCTCATGTCTGGGCTTTTCACTTAGCATAATGCTTTTAAGATTCATCCATATTGTTTAGTGTCTCAGTAGTTCATTCCTTTTTATTGCTGAATAGTATTCTTCTGTACGGATGAACCACAATTTGTTTTATTCACTCAGTGAAGGAAATTTAGGTTGTTTCTAGTTTGGGGCAATTATTAAAAGAGCTGCTATAAACATTTATGTGTAAGTCTTTGTGACAGCGTAAGTTTTTACTTTTCTAAGTTAAGCACCCAGGAGGGGGATTGCTAGGTCTTATGGGAAAGTAGAGGGATAAGTTGATAAGAAGGTGCCAGCCAACCTGTTTTCTAGAAGGACTGAATCATGGTGCATTCCCACCTGCGATGTATGAGAGGTCTGGTTGTTGAATATGTTCCTAATAAATCATATTTCAGGACGATCACAGAAGGAAGTGTGAGGAGGAGCAGAGGGAGAGAACTCCAGCAGAAACCGGGTGCTCTAGAAACAAACTAAGCTACTTGAACTGGGAGAACTTCAGAGCTGAGATATTTGAGGCAAGAGTGAGAAGGAAAAAAGTGTCATAAAGATGCTATTATCACTTCAAAATGTAGGGGATATCTGCCAGAACAAAAACAATTATAGGCTATGAAAATGGCCTGTGGCAGAGAGAGTTGCAAGAAAAATAAACAAGACTTATTTAGTAAACAAGCCAATGGTTAGGCAAAAAAACAGACCCGATGACTAAAGACAGAGAAAAGCATTCAATTCAGGACATTTCTTCCTTCCTTCCTTCCTTTCTTTTTTTTTTTTTTTTTTTGGTATTTAACTGCAGCGTATCCTTGTTATCAAGGAGAGATTTATGTTCTTAAATATTTATTAACTATTAATATACATAGAAGACATCTATCCATATGAGGGTGCATAGCGTAGGACAGTGTTTCTTAAACCTTACCATGCATAGGAATCACCTGGGGATCTTGCTAAAGTGCAGCTTCTGAGTCAGCAGCTCTGGGCAGGACCTGCACTTTGGTATTCCAGGGAGGCCATGAGTGAGAACATTCCTGCCGGGCTACAGGCTGGTGGCTCTGACTGCAGACTCTGGAGTCAGGCTGCACACGTTCAAGTCCTACCTGTGTGATTTAGAGCTGGGTAAATCAGAGCGCAGTGCTTAACCGGTCTGCCTTTGTTTTCTCATCTGTAAAGTGGGGGTGCTAGCCGTGCACAGGAATCTCACAGCGGTGTTGTGAGGATTCCATGAATGACTATGCGTCTAGCACTTAGATGAGCATTGGGCAACCCGTAGGTGCTATGTCACACTCTTCTAGCTTCAGTACGTTCCAATGGCCAAGGCAGCAGCATGCCGAACAGCTTTAAGCCACGCTGATTGAGTGCACAGTGCTTTACTTCCTCCTAGGTCCTGAGCCATACTTCTGGCAGCCAGCAGTTCTACTCGGGGTAATTAAGGGAGCCCCTTCAGAGCCACTAGGCTGAGAGAGCCTTGGAAAAAGAAAACCCAGTGAAAGAATTTCAAAGAGAGAGACTGACCATTCAGTGTGCTTTACCTGTTGGAAGTGTCAGCAGGTTCATCCCCTTGGGGAGACTGGGGCCTCCACACAATAGCTATTCCTACAAGCAGGACTAGTACTGGATGGTGCTCAGACGGTGTGTTTGAAAGAATTTCCAGCCTAACCCGAGGCCCGGCGGGTCGCTGAGAGAGCTGCACCCGCCCGCGTGCACTTTTCTCTAGGAGAGCCAGGCAGTCACTTGGCCACACCAGCCAATGAATAGACACTCTATTGTTGTTTGCCTCCTGCCCCTTTAATCTGCCTCCAGCACCCCTGTAGACATCCTAATTGGTCCTATGGATCCAGCCTTCTCTGGCCTGTCAGCTCTGCTCTGTGTTCATGGCCCGCTTTTATCTCCCTGCTCACTTGGCATATTGCTCTATTCTCATAGTTTCTGATGTTAAAATGCAGCTTGTAGAGCTTGGATGATCTTCATACCACTTCTGCCTGTTAGTAACTGTACTAAAAAAAACAGCTGTTAATCTCAATTAGGTTTTGATTGCTAATTAGCAGCTACCTGTCAGGATCAAGCAGCATTCATCCAGGTCCCTTCAGCTATTTCTCATGCAACCGGTACACTCGGTTTCCATGAGAACCATTTAGCTAGATACCTCCTCACCCAAAACTGCCACCTCTTCTGTGGCTTTTCTAATCTATCTCCAGGAAGCTCTGAGGTTCCTGGTCTACTTACCTGTTTCCTGGTTTTCTTAATTTCATTGGCCAGCCAGAGTTTCCAATGAACGCCACTTTCTCCCGCTGGTGTGTCTTGGAAGGGAAATCAGGGGATTAATAAGTCCACTAATTGAACTCAGGTTAAGAACCCACGCTTTTGAATTTCATCTTTAGACTTCTGATTTCCAAGCTTGGAAGTTGCCACTCCACCCGAACAAGTAAAAAGCTGAACGAGCTGAGAAGTCAACAACTTTTCTTCAATCTGTGAGAGAAGGATGGTCTTGGGGCAAACGGCAGCACCCCCAAAGTGGAGAGACTGTCAGGCAAATACAGAGGATCACAATCCGCTGGAGTGCAATGTCTGCGGAGGCGGCGCACACTAGGAAAACTTGAACTCTAACTGACAAGTTGCTGGAGGCTCAATGAGGACAACTCTGAGAGGGAAAAATTCCAGCAGGATCCAGGCACTGGGGATCCCCACACTTGTGAGAGTTCTCCCTCCAGGAGCTTTACCAGGTCCTCAAGGTGCATATCAGAGCCAAACCCCCACATGCCTCCTGCAGCGAAAGGGGAAAAGGAACGATTTTGAATAATGTCAGGGCCTTCTGTTCTTCACAAGATCTGCCCACCTGCATGGGTTTTTTTTTCAGAACCATAACCTGGAGTCAGGGAAACAGCCAAGGCTGGTCCCCTCTTGCCGTTCTGTCCTATCGAACGGGCAGGGGGCTGGGGTTCACCCATGTGAGGCTCACAGTACAGATGCAGGCTGACTCAAACACTGAGATCTGCTAGTAGGAGTATAGAGCACCATCCTATCCCCAGGCGTTCACACTGTGTTACTAAACACTTGCTCACAGCAGTTTCTTTCACACAGTACATCGTGTCTGGCTATCAGGAAAAAATTACAAGGCATACTGAAAGGTGAAAAGCACAGATTGAAGAGACAGAACAAGCACTGGAACCACTCAGATATGGCAGGGATGTTGGAATTATCAGACGAGGAATTTAAAACGACGACGATTAACATACTCAGGGCTCTGATGGGTAAAGTAGACAGCATGCAAGAACAGACGGGCACTGTGAGCAGAGAGGTGGAAATTCCAAGAAAGAACCAAAAAGAAATGTCAGAGATCAAAAACACTAATAGAAATGAAGAACGCCTTTGATGGGAGACTGGACACAGCTGAGGAAAGAATCTCTGAGCTTCAGGATACCTCAACAGAAATGGCCCAAACTGAAAACCAAAGACAAAAAAGACTAGGGGGAAAACAAACAAACAAACAAACAGAACAGAGTGTCCAGGAACTGTGGGACAACTACAAAGGGTGTAACATGAGTAATGGGAATAGCAGAAGAAGATGGGAAGGAATAGAAGAAACATTTGAAATCATAATGACTGAGAACCTCCCAAATTACTGACAGAAAGTAAGGCACATATCCAGGAAGCTGAGAGAACACTAAGTGGGATAATGCCAGAAAGCCGAGTCCTACTGTACGCTGTATGTATACTCAGTGGCAGCTGTTGTGCCACAGTGGCAGAACCGACTAGCTGCCGCAGAGAACTGATGCACAAAGCCAAAAATATTTACTATCTGACTCTTTGCAGAAAACAATGGCTACTCTAAACTGCATGCCAATTTTCCAAAGCCAAACGGCATGCTTCTTTTCCTATTGGTGAATAAGAGCTCTGAATATAGGTGAGTGCAGGGGGCAAGATGGGGACAGATGGCAAGAGGGATATTTTGACTTCCAGATGAGGAGGTTCAGTTTCTACCTGGTGGCAGTAACTTGTCTGGGGTGCATGCCTGTTTCCTCAGCTCCCAGGCAACTCTTAGAGTCCCCCTTCTCAGAGCTACCACTCCAGAAAGCCATGTTGTATAGAAATCATTCTAGAGAGAAAAATCTCTTCCTCCACTCCTGCTAGCATGGAGGGGGTATGAGATTCTCAGTCTCTGCTCCCCTTTCCCTCCAGCCCCAGCACTGACATTAGGCACCTTCCCTACAGAGAAGGTTGTGCTAAGTGTTATGGGCAGTAGAGAGGGGGTTCTATTGGCCCAGCTGCTAGGAATGTAGACCTTTATTTAATTATCCTGCTGATTGTCTCTTTAGCATCTGTTTTTGACCATGAGCATGGAGTTTTCCTAGAATACAAGTTCTTGAATTCTACATGTGTCAGAATTACCTGGTGGGCTTGTTAAAATCCAGATGGTTGGGACCCACTCCCCAAACTTCTAACTCTTTAGGTCTACACTGAGATTTAAGAATTTGCATTTTTTTAAAGACTTTATCTATTTATTTGAGAGAGAGAGAATGAGAGAGAGAGTGAGTACATGAGAGGGGGGAGGGTCAGAGGGAGAAGCAGACTCCCCGCCAAGCAGGGAGCCCGATGCGGGACTCGATCCCGGGACTCCAGGACCATGACCTGAGCCGAAGGCAGTCGCTTAACCAACTGAGCCACCCAGGCGCCCCTAAGAATTTGCATTTTTAATAAGTTCCCAGGAGATGCTATGGCTGCTGGTCCAGGGACCACCCTTTAAGAATGCCTGGTTTAAGGCTTTATTGGGAAGAACAGTTCTCACCTGTGGAGGACCTTTGTCTACTGCTTTGGAGTATAGTTTTTCTACTTTCTATCTTCTAGAGCTTCATCAATTTCTGATAATGGTCCTTATGTTATTTGTTTGTTTTATGTAGAATTTGATTGTTCCAAACTATTCTTTCTTATCAATTCCATGGGCACTGGGTACAAGAGAGCAGATAGACACATATGCTTTATCTTCTGTTGTGATTAACTCTTTCCTTAAAGAGTACTTCTCATTCTACATTTACCTCTAGCATTTGATAAGTCAAAGGTCACCCACTGCTATCTATTTTAGGGTGGTAATTTAACTTTGTTTTTCCAAATAGTTAACCATCTGTCCCAGCACAATTATTCAAAATGATTCCTTTTCTCACTAATTTGTGATGTCACCTTTAATATACACTAAGTTTGCATCTATACTGGGGTCGATTTCTGGGCTATCAAATCCATTACATTGATCTGTCTGCCAATTCTTTTGTCAGTAGCCCACTGCTTTAATTATCTAAGTTGCATTATCTGATAAGGCAAATTCTCTTTCATTAATCTTTACTTTCAATATATTCTGGGTTATTTTTGCCCTTCATCTTCAAAATTACTTTATCACACTCCCTCTTCCCCATTTATCTTGGGTATTAATGAGGATTTCATAAATCTATTAAGTATTTTGTGTAAGATTGACATTACTTTTCCAATGCACAACCATTAATCTATTTATTCAAGACTACTTTTATATATCAAACTTTTGTAGTGCTCTGCAAATAGGTCACATACTTTTTGAGGTATTTTTATCTTTTCTGTTGAAATTATGAACTAGGACTTTATTTTTCATTACAGCTTCTTATTCCCATTTTGAGAGAGTTTTGGGGGTGGAGTAGAGGGAATACTTGCAAGAAGGACCTTTTTATAATAAAAGAATTCAATGTGATTGGGGGTTTTGGCTCTCGAAAGTGGGTGTTTATTTTGGATTTCAGTATTATTTGAATTAATGGCAATGCTTAGTAGTTTCTAGACTTAAAACCCCTAATAATATGCTTGCATTATGCTGAATTTTTGTAATAAAACAAAAAGAATGTTAAAAATCAAATAATAGCAGAAACGTAATTCATAGTTAAGTTTGCCCACCAGTAGGCAGGGACAATGGAGTGCATCAAGCATACAGTTAAGCAGACACCCTCTTTTCCATTTTATCCAAGGCCAGTTCATTCAGCGCCTGAATAGCGCTAGGGTATGTCAGCCCCTTAACAATATTTTTTAATTTAGTCAATATTCCCAAATGATCTTTCCATGTCGGGATGATGTTTTGCATATTGCCTTCCATTCACAAAAGAGAATGTATTCTTCAGGTAATAAAATCTTACTCTGGTACTAAAGTTCAACTAGGCATGCTCTGAAGATGTGCTAACCTGAAAAATGCAGCTTTATAATACTGAGGGGGTATATGCAACTTAAAGAAAAGATTATCTTAGAACAAAAGCTTACATAAAACATTAAACAACTGGAAGTAGAAAGAAAGAAAGAAATCCCAAAGCCTAAAGTGGTCATCAAATCTATGGTAGCTTGTCAGATCTAAGACCCCACCGTTTTAAGTCACAACATTATTTTATGTATTGCAAAGAAGAAAAAAGATTCTTCCAATAAACTACATTGTGCTGTAGACTGTAAGACTGATTCTAGTTTTAGAGATTTTAAAATTGGGTTGGGGGAGTGTGCTTCTTAGAATCAATTATATATGTTAGACTGTTTCAGAATGACAGACATCTGATTCAGAAATCACATCCCTGGAAACTGAGAGGAAGTGGCACCTTCAGGAAGGGGCTGATCCAGCAGTTCAATATTGTCATTAAAGACCACTATCCCATCACAGGATCAATTTCATTCTCTAAGGCTGGTTCCCCTTGTTGGTAAAACACAGATGCCAGCAGCAAATGGGTTACAGAATTCCATGTTCACACTGAGTCAAAGACAGAGGATTGTTTCCAAAAAATTAAAATTTCCCAGACACCCTTAGCTATCTTCTCATTGTTTTCTCAGCATTCCAATTCCAGACAGTGTCACCTACCCATCCCTGAACAAACTAGCATTCTATGAGCTGTGTTGTCCCGTATGATGATGACTCACTGTGATGGACCCCTAGAGAGGCAAATGAACCCTCGTCCCAATTTGGTTTGGATGTCAAAGCCGATGAAGCCGTATACACACCAGGAGGATATGAGATGTTTGATAATTTACATAATTCAGGTCTCTCAGGAGAGCAGGGCAGGCCTCTCAAGCAGGTTTAAAATGGCTCAAGAGAGCAGGGAAAGGGGGCTGTCCTGATTTTTTATTGTAGTCAGGGTGGGGCCGATGGCAGAGTTCCTGGGTGCAGGCTAGGGCTTGCATGGTTTGAATCTCTCATTGGTTCCAAAGGAGGGAGAACCCAGGCTTTCTTACCTGCTTACACAGATGCAAGCACAAGGGGAAGAGAGAGGGGTGAGACCTAAAATCAGACGTCAAAAAGTGCAGATTCCTTATTACACTGGCCAAAGGTGATTGTGTACATTTAAATTAATTAAAATTAAATCGAACTAAAAGTTCAAGTCCTCAATCACACCAGGCACATTTCGAGTACTTAAAGTCACATGTGGTCAACTTATAGAACATTTCCACTATCCCCCCGCAAAAATGCTGTTGGATGATGCTGGTCTCCAGAGCAAGTGTCAACAGATTGTATGTAGCCCATGGGCCAGATTCAACCCAGTGTCTGTTCTTGTACAGTATGCTAGCAAAAAAATGGTTTTTCTATTTTTAAGGGGTTAAAAAAATCGAAAGGAGAATGATATTTCATGATGTGAGGATGTCCACAAACAGTTTTCTTGCAGCTGGGCCACACTCATGCATTTGTGTGTTGTTTGTGCTTTCACACACAATGGCTTGAGTGGTTGCCACAGGGACTGTCTGACCACCATGCCTGAAGTGTTTGCTATCTGGCCCTTCACAGGA